GAGCTCATTGAGCTTCCTTAGAGCCATTGTTTTGAATTCAGTATCTGATAGTTCCCTTCCCTCTATTTCATTTAGCTCTCTGTGTGGGGAGTCCCATTTTCCACTCATTTGGAGGAACTTCTTTTTCTTCCCATTTTTTTAAGTCTTTTAAATAATTTACTTATTTATTTATTTATTTTTGCTTCTGCTTCAATTTGGCTGTCTAGATTTCCTTACTTTGTGGATTAAACTTCTATGGTAGTAGGTGGGTCTTTTTATTTATTTATTTATTTATTTATTTATTTATTTATTTATTTATCCATTTAATTTTCTTTTTGGGCCTGCCTCTGATGATATCAGTTGTTGACCCTATATGTCCTTGGGTTGTTTTTGAGCCTTCCAGGAGTCTACTGTTTGTGTCTTACTCCTGCTTGGGGCTGCTCTGTGACCCCTTCGGTCAGGGCTGGACTCTTTTTTGGGGCTCACTCTGCACTCTCACGCGGGCTCCTTGAGCGAGCTCCCCAGCATGGCAGGATCGTCGCCTGCCTGGGCTTCCGTGTGCTTGCCCCAGACCAGGGGGCTTATTCGGGACCTCGCGTACTCATCTGGACCCCCTGGCCGGTGGACTCCCCAGCACTGGTCAGTTTAGGGTCTTCTATTGTGTGTTTTCCCCGCTCTTGGCTCTTTGGGTGCATTGCTTGCTGTCGCCAAATGGGGACTACGGAAATGGGAGGAAGTCAGCTCCAGGAGTCTCTGGTTAATCCTGTATCTGGTCTCTCCTCCAGGGATTCTGGGCAGCTCTGTGACCCCTTCGGCCCGGGATCTACTAATTCTGTGAGCCGCTCCCCAATCGCCGGCCAGGCGGGTCAATTTACGCCTGCCCTTGCCGCTCTGTGCACTCCCTCACAGGCCATATCAGTGCCAATCTGTGGGAGGCCTTGCCAGCCGGTGTGAGCCCTTGCCAGCCCGCGTGGTTCACACACACGCTCGCCAACCCTCGCCAGCCACTTGGCGCAATGTGCGCGCCTGCACTGGGTGGTTTTGGGGTGTCTGTGTATGCTTTTCGGCTTTTGGCTCTTTTGGGGGTGTGGCTTCTTCCCGCACAATGGAGACTACGGCAAGGAGAAGGAGTCGGGACTCTCCGGGTTCTCCTTCCGTTCTTTCCTCAACACCTCCATCTCCCGTCTCTCCTCAAGGCTCTCCCAGCCAGTCTGCACTCAGCCCCCCAGCTCACAGGCACAAGCTGTATGCTGAGCGCACAAAAGTCAGGTTAATTGATTCCCTTATGCCTGAGCAAGATGGTAGCTGCAGAGTGGGAGGTGCGTTATCACCAGGGCTCCGCTGGCCACTGTGTCAGTTCTCTTCACAAAGTTTTCCTCACCATTCTTTTCCCAGGCACCAGCCCACCCTGCTGCCGCCTCTACCCAGAGATCAAGGAATGCGGCTGCCTCTGCAATTTTTGCGTTGGCCCTTTAAATGTGTCTTTGCATCCCCAGCCACCTGTCTCTGGCAGAGAGCGCCCCTAAGCTTTTTGGGGTTGCATTTTGTCTGTATTTTCTTGGTTTTAGCTGCTGTAGTTTAGGGGTCCCTGTTTATGATTCAGATCCCGTTCTTCTTGGGGGGAGCTCACTGGCCGTTTCAATGTCCCTCTGGTGCCAGTGCCCGTGGGCACCCAGCCCACCCTCTGGGGCCTCCACCGCACTTCTCACCCGTTGGGATGTGTGAGAGTTGAATCCACTGTCTGTCCGCGGCTCCAAGGCTCCTCTCCCACTATCGTTCCATTGTTTTCCAGGTGATTTCTCCACTATTTCGTCACAATTCCAGTTTGGTCTTTGAGGGAGGAGGTCAGCGTGACTCCCATTCTCTCCTCCGCCATCTTAATCCCCCCCAACTCATAGTTTTCATTTCTCTTATAGTGTTATAGTTAACCTTAAATTATCTTTCAGAGGAAGAAATAGATTCTGTATTTTATATGTTTATTAATTATAGGTGCATAATTTAACTTAAAGTAGTTGTAATCTTGTCCTACTATACATGACAAGTATATAAGGCATGACATATGCAGCTCATTACATGAGTTGAAAAATATCCAGATACCCTGTTTAGTGAGATAAGTGTACTGACCATGCACTTGGATGTCACAGCAATGTCAAATTGAGCTATAAAGGTTTCTAAGTGACTGCTTTCCTTTCTGTACTTACATTGTCATGAATTGTTAACATGGAGTTTACAGAGTCTGGCTCAGCATTGTCTGCGGACTGCACTTTGCCTAGCATTGTGTTGGTGGACCAAAAATAAATAAATAAGTAAAGACATTAAGGAATAAAATAATGGAATCAGTAAGCTTGATTTAAAATATAGAGGGTGCCTCGTATCATTTGACTGGAGAAGTCACTCCCTCCCCTCAAATGACCATGGCACAGTAAAACAAACAAACAAAAAAATGTTCTTGACTGTGTCCTTAGCCATAAAATAAAAACAAATTTTAAAATATAGAGGTTTTACAGGCTACATTCTCTGATTATGAACCAATAAAATTAGAAATAAATAATTAGAAGGTGATTAAAAAAACCTTTACTGGAAACATACTCTAGGTAATTCTTGAGTTAAAGAAAAGTAGAAATTTATAAATTATCTAAAAGACAACAAAAAGTATTACACTTCATGTAAAAAAGTACGGGAAATAGTGAAAGTACTTAAAGAAAAATGAATATCATTAAATATAATATGTTACTAAAGAATAAAGGAACGCTAAGTTCTAGTTTTAAAGAATTAGAAAAATAATTTTAAAACATATATCAAGAAGAGGAGATTAATATATAGAAGTTGATATTAAGTGTAAATGAGTTTTCAGGTGATATTTTTTGTGTTTGTAGCATTTATACTTTGAAATTATTAAAACTTCAAACTTCACTAAGATTTTTGAGATACACTGTACAAAGCTCGGACAGTTGATTAGAAGCAGGAATAACCTCTGGGAAAGTAGGCAAAGGAAATGAATAGGCACTTCATAGAAGAGCAAATCCAAATGGCAACAAGAACAAATTCATTTATAATTGGAGTTGCAAATTAAATAGCAAAATTTTGTTTTACTCAAACCCATCCAACTAGCAAAAGTTTCAAAGAGAGATGACACTATTGATGGGAAATGTGGTATCATTAACTATATTGCTGGTGGAAATGTGAAGTTTTTCAGCTGTTTTAGAAAGTAGCCTCACAGTAAAGATCCCTATACACTGTGGCCCACCAATCCCACTCTGGGAAGCTAGTGCATACAATAAAAGTGCCATTATGTGATAGTTTAAAATATGAGAAATTATGTCCAAAATTCCTTCTGCCACCACATTCTTCAGATCCTAAATCTTTGTATTGTTTTGGTGAGCAGTCTGAATAAATCCTAAAATGTTATGGCTAGAAGAGAGTGTTGAAATCAATTAGGCTTGTGGTTCTCAAGCATTAGTGTGCGTTTGAATCACCAGTAGAGCTTATTAAAATACAAATTGCTTGTCCCCACACTCAGATTTTCTAATTCAGCAGGTCTGAGGTAGGGCCCTGAGAATTTGCAGATCTGACAAGTCCTTTGTGATGTTGACTCCACTGGTTTGAGGACCATGTTCTAAGAACCATTGGTTCAGGCCAGTGCCTTCTCATTACATATGAGAGAACCTGGAAATATGTTAATATTATCAAATTACTTGTTTGAAATCACATTTAGTAGCATGACTTGGGCTAGCACAGATTCAGGCTTTTTTATCCATGGCTCTTTGATACCTGGCATGTTACATGGAATAAGAGAATGTGAAGTGTACTTGATATTTCAGGTAAGTATTGATATTAATGACTGCAAACAGTTGAGATTCTCTGTTTTCCCCACTCACAGCACATATTGTTCCTTTGAGGAAAAGAGAAGTATTTCTATGTGGTAAGGACCAGATAAGGACTTAATGGTACATGATTATTCTTCATATAACAGTCATGATACCCTGACTAGTTAGAATAGACCAGTGGTTTTCAACTCTATTAGACCCACTGATCCCTCTTCATAACAGATACCTAGCAGTGACTCTTTACTATCCTGAAATCAAATGCACACATGATATATAGCCTACTTGACATTTTTTTTTAAATGGACAAATGATTTATAAGAAGAAAATCAGTATAATTCCCTAACTGTAATATAAAGGATAAATTAAAATAATTTATAACAAAAAATATTTTATAACATATAAGTGTTCAGGCAAAACTACACTAGAAAACAAAAGGTAGCAGTCGGGTGCTTATACCTATACTATGAACGTAGAAAGTACAAATGTAGGCAGATACAGGGTTTTTTTTTTTGGGGGGTTGGCAAATCAAATACCACAAGGACTGTTGACATTGGTGATGTGATTTCCTGAAATGGTGAAAACTCTTGGTAAAGTTCATATTAGAACAAAATATAGTACCCATAATTTACTCAGTAACTTGGAAAGACCTTTTTACAAGTAAAACATACCTAGGTTTTAAGTTCAGATGACTATAAACAGATTTTTATCTGTGTGAATGTTCAGTAAGACATTTGAAAGTTTTGCAAGACAGGATAATTCTTGACATTGTGGGACTATCTCATCATTCAAGTACCCCTGTTAGCTTCTAATTAAATGCCAGCCATGCCCCCACAAATCTTTGTTACAACTGAAACAGTATATCCACACATGTATAAAAAACCCTGGAAACAGTACAGTCTCCTGTGAGAGGAGTTACGTGGCTAAGTGCCATTGTTCTGCATTAAGAGAACTTCCTGCCAAGGTACTCGTAACCAGTGAGATTAGGTATTATTTAATTCACTTTTCTGTCACCGAAGCTTAAAGTAAACTACCAAATTCCCATCTTCTATATAATTGCATTGTTTGGTGGTAGCTATCTTCCTTGGTAGCTTTCTGCTTGTGGGGCAGAAAGAAGGAATTTGTTAACTCAACCACTATGTTAATTTTTTCCCGCTGTTCTAATTTGTATTTTCTTTCCCACCCTTTATATTCTAGGAGGAATGCAGGCCCAGGTTGGAATGCCAGGAAGTGGACCAGTGTCCATGGAGCGGGCACAAGGTAAATAAATAGTAATATCTGATTAATGTGGACTGGACTTGGAAATGTTTTATACCTGCACCGTATAAAATGGTAATATGGAAGCCACTAACCACCTATAGCTATTTGCGTGTTAAAATAATTAAAATTAGCCCTGGCTGGTGTGGCTCAGTGGATTGAGAGCCAGCCTGCAAACCAAAGGGTCACCGCTTCGATTCCCAATCAGGGCACATGCCTGGGTTGTGGGCCAGGTCCCCAGTAAGGGGTGCATGAGAGACAACCACACACTGATGTTTCTCTCCCTCTTTCTCCCCCTTCCCCTCTGTCTAAAAATAAATAAATAAATAAAATCTTTAAAAAAGTAATTAAAATTAAATTAAATTGAAACTGGGTAAAATCTAAAATTCAGTTCCACATTACAACTGCACAATGGCCACAATGGGCTCATGGATATCCTGCTGGATATTACAGATATGGAACATTTCTATCATTGCAGAAAATTCAGTTGGACACCTCTGGTCTAGACTTTCCACCTAGTGATTCAGAGCCTAGCTCTACAAGAATTGATGATGAAGCAAGTGGATCCTTTGTTGCCATTTAATTTATATCACCTTTTCCTTCACAGTCTAATGATTCTGCTGACATGTTTGCTCTCCCTCTATAAATATCTGTTGATTTAGTAAGAAACTCTAATAAATGAGTTTGTAATATGCACCTGGGTATATAGAACACTAAATTGAAACCCCAGAGAAAACTGGGAGGGGACCAGAGATCTATGAAGCCTACTTGATAGGTGTATGTTGTGCTATGGTAGTAATACTGGATACCACAGCAGTAGACACTCCATAATCTCCCCATATTTCTCTATGTTACTGGAATTTGCAGAAAAGGAAATGTAATGGTTCAGTTGAAAACAACATTAGGAGGAGAGACAGTGAGAAGATAAAACTAACTAATAAAACTGAGCACATGTTGTAAGCCTGACCCTTTAATTTTTATAAACAACCTGTGAGTTAGGGGCAGCATCTCAGTTTTCAGGTAAAGAGATAGAGCTCAAAGTATTGAGTTACTTACTGACGAGGACGTGGTAAGTACATGGCAACATCTGAGTAACATGGACTCGACTTGGTACACCCATCTTCTCTTCCAGCTAGTAAGTGACAGAGCTAAGATTCTGCAGTCTCTAATTCTAGAATCTAGCCTCTTTTTTTTCAATCCATACCACCTCTATTAACTTCCAAATATATTTTCTTTGGATAATCATAGAGAAGTTTAAGTTATATGGCCTATAAGTAAAACCAATTTTTAAGTAAAATATTAAGAAATAGGACTATATACTTACTCCTTGTCTGTGTACACTGGGGTTGGTTACTGAAGTGACAGAACTAATAATGTCAGACAGTTGATAGTAGGACAAGCTCTTGGCTAATCAATACATTGTGTATGTATCCCAAAGTATGTAGTCATGGGAAGGAATTGGGGTTTCGGTCATACTTTTACCTCTTCCCCAAGCTATCACTCAAGCTAGAGCTTTCTAATATGTACTTGCATAAGACATCTTCCTTCCTGCTATAGTTATCTTCACTTTTTTTCTGGTCAAAAGTTAAAACAGGAAATGGCTCAAGTTTTGAAGGTATATCAAGGCTATTTTCATGAAGAGACAAAGTGAGGTATTTTTCCTCTAATGCACAGCAGAGGAAGCAAGAATCTTCCCACTTGTACCTAGTTTGTCTTTCTTTTCTTGGAATCTTTATTTCTTTTGTACATTTGCAATTGTGAAAGGAGACAGTGAGATGTTTAAGAAGATACTTCCTCTTGCCTTCTGCAACCTTGGTTTAGTGTTAGTGCCCTCGTCATCTCACTAGTCTCTGTTTGTTCTTATGATGACCTTTGTTTATTATCAAAGACTTGCAGTGGCATAGTATTTCTTGAGGAGTGATATTCTCTTTCCCTGTCTAAAGTTTATTCACTGCCCTTTCTCCATTTGGTACTTCTGCTATGAGCCTCTCCAGAATAAATCTTGCCTTCTGCATTCAGTATAATTTCATTTTTGCTTATGAAATATATTTAGGTTCTTTACCTAAGTTAGAGATTCAGAACCATCCTTTTTATATTTTGTTTCTTTTTTTAATGAAATCATAGGGAGATTTAGGGGAATCATAGTAGCAGAGGTAAAAGTTGAAAGTGGCTGGTTATTCCTGCCCAAATAAAATCAGTGCCCACAGGTGTCAGCTTTGGAAGCAGTCTCATCAAAGGTGAACAGTTGCAGATCCCAAAGACTAAAATAGTTTAGGAAGATTTTGTAGCCTGGAGCAAACTAATGAAGTCTTGGCTTTTTAACTTAACATGTGTAATTCTCCAGTGTCTGTATGTGTATGTTTCTGCATGGGTGTGAAAGCTCTTTTAAGTGTCTGCTCTTTCTCCTTTTGAACTGAATGCTCACCTAGGAACCCTACAGCACTCGCCCGTGGGACCTGCCGGGCCTGCGTCAATTGAGCGAGTTCAAGGTACCCATTGTATCTGTGGGTTTCCTTTTGCTTTGTGGTGTTCAGGGTGGGGCGTTGAGAGGACAAGAGCTGCTTGGCAGTCATCCTCATGTTCAGAACCCAAAAGGGTAGTGTTTTGGGTTTTTAATTTACTCCTGTTGGGACCGCAAGCCTAAGATTGACCTCTTCACACAGGGCAGAGAACATGGATGATATGGGCATCTGTCCGAGGCTGTACTCCCTCCCTACTGGTGTCAGGAGGCTTGGATGGAATAGCAGTCTGTAAGGATACAGCAGGTTCTTGCAGAGCCATGGCAGTGTTCACATATGCCAAGACCCTACCTCTCTTTTGTGACTATGGTCCTTGATCTAAGATTGATTATAAGGGAAACCAGGAGCATAAGTCTCTTCAGGTTGCAGTGCTAGTCTTTGGCAGGTTGCTCCCCAGTTTGCTCTTTATATAATTCCATCCATACCTCTGACATGGCACAGGTTCTGCCTACATCCTGCTTCTGTTCTTGAGCTGCAAGAGGAGTCTTCTGTGGTGAGGTTTCACCCACTCTAAGGTGTCTGAATTATGTTGTCAGTGGTATAGAGAGTCATTTATTGTTTCCTTGTGTGTCCTTCACAGCAGTAACTCCCTGTTTGTTTCCCTGTCAGTGCCGATGCAAGACCCCAGAGCAGCTATGCAGCGTGGGCCCTTGCCTGCCAACATCCCAACTCCTCGAGGTCTGTTAGGAGATGCTCCAAATGACCCACGTGGGGGCACTTTACTTTCTGTAACTGGAGAGGTAGAGCCTAGGTAAGCAATGACATAGAAGGAAAACCTTAGAGAAATCAGAATTTTTCCTTTACTTTGAGAACAAAGTCTTGCCATATTAGCTATACCCACTGGTTGCTGTCCAAAGCTAAGCACTTCCCCTTGGGCAGAGCTGTATAGTTGGGTATGTCATTTTAAACTAACCATGGCTACTCCCATCTTTAGAAATTAGAAATCCTAGCACATATACCTGAAGAGAAAAAACGTATATTGCTTACTGATAGTAGTAATATTAATAATGGCAATAATAATAAAATAATAGTTGTTATTAATGGAATTATGCCTCTGGCTCTGCTCTCAGTGCTTTATGTAGATCATCTCATTAAATCCACCCAAACCTATGAGACTGATACTAATATCAGTCCCATTTTACAAATTAAGAAACTGAGGCATAGAGAAGTTAAGTAAATGTGCCCAAGATAACACAGCTAATAAGTGGTGGAGCTTAGATTTGAACCCATATGGGAATGATGTTCTGAAGCACTATACTACACACTCACTATATATAATGGAAATGCATTAATTCCTTCTTAATTATGAGCGCCCTGACCAGATACGAAATTCTAGAATATGTTGATTTACATCTCCATAGCTTTTCTTCAACTTGTTTGGTGTTATTCTCAGCACTCATAGACTGATGTTTGTATCAGTTCTCGTCTGATTTTTACTTAGTGATTTCTGGTTGACTTATTTTTTTTTTTTTTGCTTCTATTTTAAAATATATCTTTTTTTTTTTCATCTGCAGAAGTTACCTGGGACCACCTCATCAAGGTCCACCCATGCACCATGTCCCTGGCCATGATGGCCGTGGCCCACCCCCACATGAGATGAGGGGAGGACCATTAGCTGAGCCGAGACCTCTAATGGCAGAGCCAAGAGGACCCATGCTAGATCAGAGGGGCCAACCCTTGGATGGCAGAGGTAAGTGCAGACCATGGCACAACATTGACTGGGAGTTGTGGGTTGATAAACCCAGCTGTCTTAGGTTCTAATCTGGAATAAAGAATGCTGGAGCAGTAGGGTTGACAAGCATTTTTAAGGTTTATCTGCCACACTGAGAAATTGGGGAGGAGAAAGCAGTCTCCTGTAGTTGGGAGTAAATGTGACTAAAGGAACTGGTTTCTGTCTTTCTTGGCTTGTTGATTCTTCTTTCAGTAAAGGTGAATAACTACACAGTGGTTTTCTTGCACCTTGCTTTTTAGGCGGAAGAGATCCCCGAGGCATAGACACACGAGGGATGGAGGCACGAGCCATGGAGGCAAGAGGATTAGATGCCAGAGGATTGGAGGCCCGCGCGATGGAGGCCCGCGCGATGGAGGCCCGTGCGATGGAGGCCCGTGCGATGGAGGCCCGCGCGATGGAGGCCCGCGCGATGGAGGCCCGCGCGATGGAAGTCAGAGGGATGGAGGCCAGAAGCATGGATACAAGGGGCCCAGTCCCTGGCCCTAGAGGCCCAATACCTAGTGGAATCCAGGGTCCCAATCCAATTAACATGGGAGCAGTTGGCCCCCAGGGATCCAGACAGGTATGTATGGCATTCACTTCTGGCTTCTATGTGAAATCTTGATCTATTCAGGAACTACTTATTGAGCCTAATTATTACTATTTTCTCATTCGGGCTATTTCTTAGCTTGTTAGAAAGGGAAGGTTAGAATCTGCCTTCCTTTAGTTTCTCTGTCTCTTAGAGTAGTAATTTTTTGATTACCAAGATAATAGTCCAAAAGAACAACCTGTGCCACAATTTCAGGAGCTTTTCCATTCAGAGCAGAGGCCCTGAAAATTCAGAGATAAAGAGTCTATCTGTAGAATCTAGGCATGGGTCATTTGTAAAACATCCTCAAAATGATTCTAATGTACAACCCTAAGAGCCACTGAATTAGAGCATATAAAGAGTTAGTGGTCATTTAGATAATCTTAACTGTTCAGAAATCTGTTTTAATTTGCTTTCATTGCATAGCCTAAATAAACAGTGAGTATGGAAGGTAGTTTACCAATGCTCACCTTAAAACCCGTGTAACTGAATTCTTATCTTTGCTTCCTTTTTATTTGTGTCTCTCCAGCTGTGAGAGTATATGGTTATCTGTGATTGTCTATGTGTTGTCATCATCTCCCTTTTCATCCCCAATTTGTTGTGGGAAGGTGTGTATCCTCCCTGAGTTTTTATATGCCAGAACCTTCATTGTTCTCCCAGGGATGTCCAACCTTTTGGCCTCTCTAGGCCACACTGGAAGAAGTAGAGTTGTCTTGGGCCACACATTAAATACACAAACACTAACGAGAAACAAATCTCATAATGTTTTAAGTAAATTTACGATTTTGTGTTGGACTGCATTCATAGCCGTCCTAAGCCTCAGGTTTGACACCACTGCATCTAGCCCCTCCACCTTCCTTTTTCCTATATGTGTTTTCCCCCTTCCTCTATGTAGTTCTGTCTCTCTTTCCTCTTTGATATGCTTCCGTGCCTCCCTCCTCTCATGTCAGTGGAAGCAGGGAGAGAGAGGAGAGAATGTCAGAGCTGAGATAGAACATATCAATCATCCACTTCTCTCATTTTGTAGGTTTGGAAACTGAGACCCAAGAATTCATGTGACTTGTCTAAATTAACAAAAGTAAAAAGTGACAGAACAAGGAATAGCACCCACTCATTTTTCCACTGTACTACTCTGTCCTATTACCTGCACATTGTGTATGTGTATATGTGTGTCTGCTTCCCCCTCTTTAAAATGAAATATAAGTATGTTGTTTCTGGTATGTATAGAAGAAAATTGTTCTCCAGAGTTTTTCAAGTTGTGCTTCTAAAAAATGTGTGCATGGGCCTCTGTTTATTGTGTGTGCATACTATGGTCAGTAGCCTCATAATAAAAATGGGTTTTAGGTGTTCATTCAGTCATTGAACAAATATTTATCAAGCAGCTACTATGTACCAGACAGAGCTATAGGTAGAAGGGATATAGCAGTGTGAACAAAAGAAGTCCCTGCCCCTGCAGGCTTGCATTCTACTTGGGGAGAAAGACAACAACTACTACTTGATACGCTTATGTAATTCTGTGGAGAAAGACACTGAAAATAGTGGTTGGAAGACTATTTCTGGATGTCTTGCTTTTTTGTCTCTGCTAGTCCTTGAACTAATTACTCTGTAATATTAGGCTTATATAGTTTTCATTAGTAGATTCTATAAAGTTAATTAGATCTGAGGTAGAGAAAAAATTTATGTTCAAGCCTTAAAATGGTTTAAATCAATGTGTACACTTATAAATAAATATGTAAAATACACTCACTCATATATAATAGGTAGAAGAACCTTACTTCTTCCCCTGTACCTGTCTCCCCTGTGATCCCATCTCCTACAGATAATTGCTTTTATTAGATTTTGTGTTTCTTTCTAACAAATAAGAATATATATTCTTATTTCTTCAAATACGAATATACATGTATTTTTATTTTTCCCTCCTTTCACTATTCTGTGCCTTGTTTTTCACTTAACAGTATATTCTTAATTGATAATTTTAAATCAGATTTTAAAATTAACTTTAGTACACATAAGTTGGAAACTCATCAGTAAAATGATTATTGTTACTAAGGTGATTATGTAACTTATCAAACAGGTACACATTTGAGAGTGAGAGGGCTGTTAGTATTTAATCTGGGACTGTCTTGGGTAAACCTAGATGTGTAATCACACATATTATTACTTAATCTGCCTAGAATGGGCACTCTAGAAACTTAAAATGGCAATTAGTGAATGGTTAGATCATGTTACAGAACTTCAAATTAGTATTGACTGAAGCTTCAGAAAGGTTATCCTCAGAGATGTTTCAGATCCATAACAGATCAGACCTGTCTCTGAATTCAGTATTGATAAAGAATAGGAAGTGATATTTTAGCAAGCTGTACAAAGCCATACTAATGCTTCATCTCTCTAGTGTCTTTAGGAAATGAGTCCGTGCATGTAAGTGAATGTTCTGGATAATAGAACTATTCTACCAAATCTGTTAAACTACTTGGATGGAAAATAACTTGTAAAGTGCATTATGTTTTCTTCCCTTCTTAAACAGGATACAAAAAAATGGTTTTAATCATTAATGATTACTCAAGATCATCATTAAATGTATCCATTATTGTATATGCTACAATAGAAAGCGTAGTTATTTCCTGTTTGGTTTCTAGTTTCCTTTACTGTCAGGCTGTCACCTGACCCCTCACATTGCTGTCATGGTATCTGCTCCTAACGGTCTATCCACATTTCTTTTATGCTTTGCTGCTTCTAATCTGCTGGGGAAGCAGGTAACAAGTATGTTAATGATGTGTGTTTAATAAGAGCACCTAAGCTCTGGGTGAATGCCTGAGTGCGAATACAACTACAGCATAGGGACATTTTAACAGATTTCTAGCAGCTCTGAGGCCTTTCCTTGGGTTCTGGTAGTCATCTCAAAGACTGAACTCACCAAAGATCTGAAATACTATTAAGTATGATATAACTATACTTTGTTCTTTTAATTCGGGTCAGTCATATTTCTTGGTCTGTATTTAGCATCTGTTGCATATTCTCTCAGGAAAGTTACCAAAAGCAAATGTTGGGCTAATAGCAGTCTTTTCCCCAGAGGCCTTCCCATCTCCTTTCTGCCTCTGCCATTAGGATCGTCTCTGCCTTACTTGTGGGATAGGGCCCTTTGGGATGAACAACCTATATCTGATTGAACTAGAGGTAGGCAGTGTCCCTGTGAATGTAGCTTCCCCAGTGGACCAGCATACATTATCTCTAGAACCTGTCGACTTTCATTTCTGTTTCCACTGAACACTAGTTTCCAGGATGCTCTGTGTTCTCTGTGCTTATGTGGCTGAATTTTGCTTGATTTAATGGTATCCAGTTGCACTGTGTGATACTTGTTGATGATGCTGGAGCTGTTGTAAGCAAATGTGTCTAACTTGCTAGTTGATCTCTGCCTAAATCCTGCCTTCTGCCATTGCTAGCAATAGGAAATGATCTTCAGAATCATTAATTTGATTTTCTTACTCATATCCATAATCAGATCATATTTTTAACGTTGCTGTTGCTGAATTCTGGCTGCCTATATAAGTTCCAAAAAACTCTCCTCGTCTCTCTTTGTGCACACAGGTTCCAGTCATGCAGGGAGCAGGCATGCAGGGAGCAAATATCCAGGGTGGAGGCCAGCCTGGTGGCTTTAGTCCTGGCCAAAACCAAGTCACTCCACAGGACCATGAGAAGGTAAGCAACCCAGAAGGTAAGCAGCACTGCCTGACTGCCTCCATGTGCACAAATCCTTTTGACTCCTCTTTTTAGTTACTGTGTGCCAGTGCTGGGTTTTTAGAGTCCCTTTGGAAGTGATGTTTACTCTTAGAACTCTTTACTCTTAGAACCTGGAAATTTGTGAGCCATTCCTGAAGTCTTTAAATGGATGTATGTAAGCTCTGGCTGGTGTGGCTCAGTGGATTGGGAGCCAGCCTGCAAACCAAAGGGTCACCAATTCTATTCCCAGTCAGGGCACATGCCTGGGTTGTGGGCCAGGTCCCCAGAAGGGGGCTCATGAGAGGCAACCACATTTTGGTGTTTCTCTCCCTCTCTTTCTCCCTTCTTTCCCCTCTCTCTAAAAATAAAAAAAATAAAATCTTTAAAGAGAAAAAAATGGATTTTAAATAGCAGCTAATCTTACATTTTAGGTTCATCTGCCAATAGCAGTTTTTTTGGGCAGGTCAAATTGACCTGAAAATCCAAATCCCTTTCTTCATCCCCTTTCAAGCTTATCCCTAAAAACAGTAGCAGATTCTCCATGAGTATCTTTCTGTTTCTATATTTGACCATTATGGAGAGCTCATGTCTGATGCAAAGGCCTAAAATTTGTGAAAAGGAGAGACATTCAAAAAGATTAAAAACTGAAAATTTCCCTGAGCTCAGCAATACTATTTTACTCTGCAAGAGCTTTGGGGTCATAAAGGTGTGTGTTTTGAGCCTTCTAATCTTAGATATTGTTGTACTTTTGCTTTTTGTTATGCCTTTTCTCACCAGCTAGTTTTGATTTCTTGTTTGGTTTGGATTGATTGTCTGGGGGCTGTTTTCTACATGTGAAATATCCTTCCTTTTGGACACAAGCTGGTATTGTTTTTGTTTTTGTTTTCTTTTAGCTACCATCATTAATACTTACTCATTAACACTCACTATCTTTTTTATTCTCTTCGCAGGCTGCTTTGATAATGCAGGTTCTTCAACTGACTGCAGACCAGATTGCCATGCTGCCTCCTGAACAGAGGCAGAGTATCCTGATCTTAAAGGAACAAATACAGAAATCCACTGGAGCGCCTTGAAAGGTGAGCACACTTACGCAGCCTGAGTCAGACAAGCTCCTTGGACATTTAGGGTATATACTTCCAGCCTTAACTAACAACACTCTCCTGATCTCAAGACTCCCTCAGGCCTGCACTCCTCTTGGCTAGACTCTTTACCCTTCAGTAAGTCAGCCCCTATCAGAATAACAGAAGGCTACAGAGCATTCGTTCAGCTGTTGAATTAGTTGCAATGTTTTTAAACCTTTTTTTTTTCCCCTAATGGCAGTCAATTTAACAAAACTGATTGAATACAAAAATGTAAAAAATTTGGAGTAATAAAGTTCTGCTTCCTAAATCTCAATCCCTAGACATAATGTCTAAATATAGTTTGATGTGTATCATTCCGCAATCAATTGTGTTATTTTATTGCAGACTGTCCCATCAAAACAGGAAGAATACAAAGCATTTCAATAAAATGTATACATGTTTTAGTTTCAGATATTTATTTTATATTGAATATTTTGAGGTTAAACTATATTGCAGCACATAATTAAGGTAGTGAATGTCCACTGTCACCATCAGTCCCTATACATTTGAGAGATTGCTATACACTGCTGCCCTTATTTTTCTTGTTCATTGTTCAGATAAAAAGAACCCTAACCATATGGCCTAACTTGATTACATGTATTGGTGTTTCCTTTAAAAAATTTTCTCCCAACAGCTTGTATTTCATAAACTATTCTGTTTTGTAAAAACAGTTTAAAATTCACATTATCCCAATATCACCTCGAATATCACATTTTGAATTTCTACTTTTTACCCCATTCATACTATAATTTTCATCCATATATCATATAATAGTGAACTCATTTACACTAATTAATAGTCTTTACTAAATAGATTATATTTTAATCCACATTTATAATATCATTAAAACATCCAGACTGGAAATAAATGTCATATCTGTTATAGATGGATGCTTTACTAGACTTTCTGTGTGACCTGTACTTTAATTTTTTAGTTCACATACCCCAGGCATACCATTTTCTTTCAATAAAAGTATAGGGTACCTATTATATTCAGAAGAACAGATCAAAAACACTTCCTCTTTTTTATTTTTTCTAATTTATGCCAGAGAAGGCATTCCCTACAATGTGAGGAAATTGTTTTTGAGTAATGGAGGTAGAAATGTTTCTAAAACTTCTTTCATTATGTATTGTTGCTTATGAGATACCTCATTGCAAAGCCTTGCACATAAGTCACAGGGAAAAGTTTTTTGTTTACCTTTTATTTTGAAATAATTGTAGATTCACAGGAAGCTGGAAAAGTAGTACCTCATGTACCCTTCTTCCAGCTTCCCCCAGTGATAACATCTTGAGAAGATGTTGTACAATACCTTTTTGGCCTGTAGGACAAAACCAAGAAGTTAACATTGGCACATTACTGCTACCTAGACTACAGACCTTACTCAGTTCTCACCATTTTACTTAAGCCTACATTAATTTGTGTGTATGTATGCGTGGTGTGCTTGTAGTTCTGTGCAATTTACACAGGCAAGGTTTTAATGTTTATTTGCTGGTATCTGCCTATGGTAGCCAAAAGTATTGGCTCTCCCTCCATTGTACACCTCACTAGCTGTCATCCATCACTGCTAACACTGACAGGCTTATATACCATTACAGTAGAACACCAGTTGTCAACCAGAGGGAGTTTTGCCCCCTACAGAACATTTGGAAATGACTGGAGACATTTTTGGTTTTCACAACTTTTGGGGAGTGGTGTACTGCTGGTATTCAGTGGTAGAGACCAAAGATGCCTCTAAACATCCTATAAATGTACAGGACACACCCCCCATAACAAAGAGTTATCTGACCTCAAATGTCAGTAGTGCTGAGGTTGAGAAACCCTGCTGTAAAGGATGATTAGTTTTGAGAGGCAGGAGGCAGATGCCTCAGGAATCTGCCCCTGGTGTTTTGCTCTTATGAATAGCCTCCCTCCCCCACCCTTTAATTGTTTTTTTCCTGATACTGAGGAAGAGAACTTTCTCTCAATTTCTAATGGTTTTCTCCCAACTTTTCCTTACAGGTTTTCAAAAATACCTGGCAACAAATCTGGAAATTAATCTCATAACTTTATTGAAATGTTTCAAAAAAGATGACTTCTACATCCTAACCCTTGAATGACTCAAATTGGTACCAGGTGGAGGACTCCCATCGTCTTCTCTCAGAACAAAAACAGATCATTCTGTTGTCTTAGTTTGTATATTTTCTGTGACTTGAAATAAACTTGGAACACAGTTTTACTATACTGCAAATTGATATACATGACCTTTTTGTTTTTAAAGAGTTGAGTATCATGGGTGAAACCTTAGATGTATTTTTCTACCCTTACCACAATTGTTCTTTAATGTTATATTGCTATACTTTGTTTTTCCTTTTAAGTTAACCTATTCTTCATGATATTTGAGAATTTCTCAGAAACGCTGTTTTCTGAAACTTAGTTTTTATCTAGTTTGCTTCCAGTGGGAATAAGATTTGTCCTTTGAGAACTTGCTAGAATTTCTGAGTCTATTGGAAGACAATAACACATGGTTAGAGCTATAAAGTGGTTCAGAGGTCAACAATGCAAAGAGCCTAGCAGAGCAGTGTATTTAGTTTAGAAAAATCCAGATATCAAAATACATTTTTTGTCAATAGCAGGTCTATTCACATACATAGTTCAGAGTTAAGACAAAGATGTTATATAAGCCACTGGTTGTAGTCAACACAGAGGCTATTGACGTTTACTTGTGTATTCTAAAACTATTCATTCTGGGTAGTCAACCTTAAAAGTTAAAAAAGCCACTAATTTTTAATACGTTCAAGATAAAAACTGAACAGAAATCAAATGTACAAAATAAATTTCATCTACCTTTTAGATAGTTATTAACCTATAGACCTACTCTGTAACCAAATTTATTCTGGGGAATTGAAACATAGGAAACCCAAAAACTTTTATATTCTAATTTGTTTTAAAAGGACCAAATGTAGAGTACAAGTAGTCAGATTGCCCATTAAGCTGTCCTCTACCTGTTTCCTTGCAGATAGATATGAACATACTTAGTGCCCTATTTCTAACCTATGGCTCTTCTGGCCTACTGTTCTCTTATAATGGCACTAAGGAGAAACATGATTTTTTTCCATCAGGCCAACCTTAAGAGGTTATGAGGTGCCTTAATAATTAGTGAAGTTCCACTGGAACTACTCAAGCCTATTTATATTCTCATAATTCTACTCCCAGATAAGGATTATGGTCAAGTGAACTAAAAGCCTGTGATAGGCTCAGAGAATGCAATAGCATACTGCTTACATGTCCAGCAAAAGAATGCAAAGATAATAAACTTTATGAGAGACATTAAAACAGGGATTTTCTACTCTGATATATAAACATTTACTACTAAGAATTTGTTGCATAAGATACTCCATATTACAACCTAGGAAGAAAAACTTGCTCAAAACAGTTTAGGAACTTTCTGGATGTCCTGTACATCCCCAAATTGGGCTTGGATATTGATTATGTGTAGGATTTATTATCATTCCCTTTTCTGCCTACTTCCATGACTATTCTAGAGCTTGATATGTTGATTTTAGCAGCAGTCATATCTTGAAGTGTTAATGTAATTTAGATGTCAGTATTAAGAGTGGCGCCTTTCTCATTAGGAACTCATAAGATATTCAAGAAACACAAGATTCCAAACCAAAGTCATTGAAAATTAAATTATTTGGTCAGCAGTTGTCTACTGGGAACCATACTGTCATATTGTCAAGGTTCCATTGTGCATTTTTCTAAGCATTATTAAGTTTAGACAACTGAAATCCAGGAAATTGGCAACAGTAAGGGTGCTACAATCTGTTCCAGTGGAAACATCCATTAGTACCTTTTCATTGGTGTCCAATTAATAAATGAAACAAATCACTACCATGAGTTCCTGACATTATTTTCTTCAGACTAGGGACTGAAAAAATGAATCTTACTAATCCTCCAAGTCATATAGATTGCTAGATAATTAGAGACAACCATTTATTCATTTTTCGTTGCTTAATGGTAGAGAAAGAAATAGGTGCTATAATGTTAATTCAGCAGAAACATTCTTATAAATCTGATGGGTTGAATTGTCTTTGGGCACAGTGAAGTGTAAGGTTTTTTACCCTCTTTTAAGGGACCTGGTCTTCTATTAATTCACTGTGACTACTAACATGCCATAGCCAGGTGGATCAGAAAAATAAAAAGCATTTTCATAGGAGAAAGAAATGGCATTTTGCTTATGTCATTATGTGAATGGTTTCCTCATTAATAAGGTAAAACCAAAAACAAATGTATATCAAAATTCTAAATTATCTTTTTTAAAAAACTAGAAATTAATAAACCCCCTTAATAAAAATGGTGATGCAGAGTCCCTGCTGACTAAATAAATTTACTAGGATCGAGTTCAAGCTTTCACAAATATTTCCAACAGAGCAATGCAAGCTAATGACAATATAGCTGACTTGCAATTAAACAATTTCAGTTATGACTAGAATTCTTTCAAGACTTTCTTTCCCAGATGGAGAGCGTAGGTAAAGTAACAAAAGATTTACTCATTAAGAAGAAAATCCTTCATTATTTTGACAAGCAAAAATAAGTGAAACATATATAGCTGTTCAAACTGGCTAAAACAATGTTTAAAAATCATAGTAAAAGAATGAACATAGTGTATAGAGGGATGGGGTTCTTGGTAATTTTCTGTTTTACTATTTATACTATGTTTTGCCATTAAATAGTAAATAACTCTTTTGGGTTTTTTTTTTTTTTACTGTTATTTTTCACTGTTTAAATTCATTTGTCTCCACCTTCCTGCCACCATTTTCCCCTGCCCCCATCCCCCCACCTGCCTCTCTCAATCCTTTCCCACATTGGCTTTTTCAATGGGTCCTTTATACGTGTTCCTTCACTTGACCCTATCATTCCCTTTCCCCGCCCTCCCCCTTCCTTCCCTCTTCATTCTGTTGGTTTCTTTTTTCTTTCAATGTTGCTGGTTATATATTCCTTCCTTGTTTGTTTTTTGATGGTTGGGTTCCACTTATAGGTGAGATTATATGGTACTTGTCTTTCACCACCTGGATTATTTCAAATAACATAGTGCTCTTCAGTTCCACCCATGCTGTTGCAAAGGGTAGGAGCTCTTTCCTTCTGCTGCGTAGTATTCCATTGTGTAAATGTCCCATAGTTTTTTGATCCACTCATTTACTGATGGGCAATTAGGTTGCTTCCAACACTTGGCTAATGTAAATAATGCTCCTACTAACTTTGGGGTGCATAGGTTCTTTTGATTTTGTGTTTTTGGACTCAGGATGTAATTGCAGCAGTGGAATCTCTGGGTCAAAGGCAGTTCATTTTTACCTTTTTGAGGAAATTCCAAACTGTTCACAGCGGCTGCACCAGTCTGCATTTCCACCAAGAGTGTACTAGGATTCCTTTTTCTCCACAGCCTCGTCAGCATCTGTTGTTTGTTGATCTGTTTATTATGGCCATTCTGACCGGTGTATAGTAGTATCTCATTGTGCTTTTAATTTTCATCCCTTGATGGATAGTGATGCTGAGCATCATTTCATGTCACTGGGCCCTCGGTATCTCTTCCTTGGAGAAGTGCATGCTCAGGTCCTTTCCCCATTTTCTAATGAGATTGTTTGTCATCTTGCAGTGGGGTCATGTGAATTCTTTATATAGTTTAGAGATCAAACCCCTATCTGATATGTCATTGGCAAATATATTTTCCCATATTGTTGGCTCCCTTTTCATTTTGCTGATGTTAACCATGAAGAAGCATCTGATTTTGATGGGGTCCCACTTGTTTATTCTTTCCTTTATGTCCCTTGCTTTAGGGACATATCGGTGAAAATATTCCTACGTGGGATATCTGAGAGTTCCCTGCCTATGTTCTCTAGGACTTTAATGGTGTTGCAACTTATATTTAAGTCTTTTATCCATCTTGAGTTTATTTTTGTGTATGGTGTCAGGGATCAAATTTCAATTTTTTGCAGGAAGATGCGCAGCTCTCCCAATACCATTTGTTGAAGAGGCTATTTTTCCTCCAATTTATGCTTCTGCCTCCTTTGTCAAATATTAATTGACTGTAGAGACATGGGTTTACTTCTGGGCTTTCTCTTCTGTTCATTCATCTATGTGTCTCTTCTTGTGCCAGTACCAGGCTGTTTTCATTACAGTGACCTTGTAATATAGTTTCTTGTCTGATATTGTGATCCATCCTACTTTGTTTTTCTTTCTCAAAATTGCTGCAGCTATTCATGATCATTTATGGTTCCATATAAATTTTTGAAATGTCTGTTCTATGTCCGTGAAGTGTGTCATTGGTATTTTAATAGGTATTGCATTGAATCTATAAATTACTTTGGGTAGTATGGACATTTTGAGGATATTATTCTTCCAATCCATGAACATGGTATATGGTTCCATTTATTTGTGTCTTCCTTAATTTCTTTCTTCAGTGTTGTATGGTTTTCTAAATACAGGTCTTTTACCTCCTTGGTTAAATTTATTCCTAGGTACTTTATTTTTCTTGTTGCTATAGCAAACGGGATATTTTTCCTGATTTCTGCTTCTACTGTTTCATTGTTGGTGTACAAAAATGCCTTTGATTTCTGAATATTGACTTTGTATCCCACTGTTTTCCCAAATTCACTTATTAGGTCTAGTAGTTTTTTGCTCGATTCTATAAGATGTTTTATGTACACTATCATGTCCCCTGCAGACAATGATAATTTTCCTTCCTCCTTTCCAATTTGGATGCTTTCATTTCTTTTCTTGTCTAACTGCTGTGGCTAGTACTTCCAGTACAGTGTTGATGACAAATGGTGAAAGCGGACATCCTTGTCTTGTTCCAGATCTTAGTGGGAAAGCTTTTAGTTTTTGCCCATTGAGTACGATGTTAGCTGTAGGTTTTTCATATATGGCCTTTATTATGTTAAGCTATGCCCCCTTTATTCCCATTTTGCTGAGTATTTTTATCATAAATGGGTTCTGTACCTTATCGAATGGTTTTTCCACATCTATCAAGATGATGATGTTTTTGTATTCGTTTTGTTTATGGGATGTATTACATTTAATGACTTGTGTATATTGAACCATCCTTACATCCCTGGGATGAATCCCACTTGGTCATGGTGGATGATCTTTTTAATGTATTGCTGGATGCGGTTTGCCAATATTTTGTTGAGAATTTTAATGTCTGTGTTCATCAGCAATATTGGCCTGTGGTTTTCTTTCTTT